CCCCTGGCAGAAGTTGGGAAATGACCAGTGTGAAATTCACAAACGGCCAAGTCTTTCCCGCTCTGAGAATGACAAGGACGCAGACCCAGTCTCCATGTGGAAGGTGTGCTAGAAAGACAGCCCAGGTGGGGATGCGCACCCTGATTCCTCAAGGTGAAGCCCTCGGAATGCCCCCAAACAAGGATCAGAAGAGCCCAAGGAGAGGCATAAACAGTAAAAGGTCCCCAAGTGTAGCTGAGGAATCTCTGAACCTACTAAATATACAGATTCCGTGGACTCTGCTCTCATAGCTTCTGAGTCCATGGGCCGACGGTCAGGCCTGGGAATCTGCATCTATCAAGTTTTGCAAGCAGTTTTGATGATTAGCTAAGTTTTAGAAACTGTTGGTTTGGTTTTCATGATTTTCTTTCTTTCTTCCTCATTCTCTCTCTTTCTTTCTTTATTTTCTGCCTAAAGTCCCTAAAGTCCAGGAATAAAAAACAAATGGACAATGTGTGGAGATAAGAACTGAGAGATACAGCAATCGAGGGGTAGAAAGGTTAAGGGACTTGCTAAGTTGACATAGTTAATTAACATTTAAACCAACAAGCACGTATCAAACAAACAATCCATGCAAGGGACTGCACACAATGTGGTGGAAATAAAAGGAAATGTAAGATGTCATCCCCGTCTTTGGGGCCTACACACAGGACGCACACTCAAAAGCAGGCTGTGTGGAAGGCAACAGGGAGTAGTGGGGATTGTGGCAAACTAAAGGCTTGTGCTAATACAGTGAGCATTTGCTACTCAGCTCTAGCTTCTTGGTGTTTATGAGGGTGTGGGCCTGGACTGACCAGATATTCTGGGTTTGTTTTAAAGGAGCCAGAAATTCCACATTTCCTGGCTTTTAAATCTAAAAACACATTCAATTTAAAAAAAAAAAAAAAAAAGCAAGAAAGAAAACCACACAGTCAGGGCCAAATGAGATTCATCCGTAGGCTGACTCTTGCCCATGGAATGATGGTTTGCAGCCTCTTTCCTAAAAGGTCATCCAGTCCAAACCCTGTTGAACTTGAATGTCCTCCAGGGCCCTGCAGAGTGGACCAGAGGGTGAGGGGTCCCCTCTAGCAGGTTAAGTGTGTGTGTGTGCCCTCATGTGTGCAAGGACGGGGCTTCTGGTCTCCCTCTGTCCATGCTGGAAATGCATTCCAGGCACAGAGGCAGGGTGTGGGCCCAGCAGCCCACTCGGAGATGCCCTGGGGAGGGCTAAGATCTTCAGGCCAACAGGGGCTAGTTGGCTGAGGAGTCCGGCTGGAAGGGGCTACAGAATGAAATGCCAAAGAAGGACAACTCCGGAGAAAGCTAGAGAGCACAGCTGTCTTGAAAAGGACTGTTGGAAAGGCAAGAAGAACAAAGAGGCTAGGGAGAAGCATCGGCTCTAGAAATCCCATCCCCCCCGAATATGACATCTCCAGAATCCCCAGCCAGCCATCCAAACGAGCCCTCTGGCCATTCTCCATGTGCTTGCTCGGCGAAATTCGTCCTCACAATACTGACCACTACCTGACCTTTCACATCACACACTACTTCGCCTATCTGCATTTCTGGGTGCCCCCGACTCTGATATACAGCTCCAGGAGAACGGGCTTCCTCTGCTTTGTTTATGGTTCAGTTCCGTGCCTGGCACGAGCCAAGCGCACAGTAGTTGCTTAGCACTCCCTGCTGGACCAGCGACTGCAGCCAACCTCTTGGCACAAAACAATTCAAGTGTCAACCACATAATAATAACAACATCAGCACAAAGCACTCTATCATTTACAAAACCTGTCGTTTAACTTAATTCCTCAGATGTTCCTTTACCGAAATGCTTTGTGTGTTTGGCCACGGCCCAAGAGAACGCTGGCCTCTGCAAGGCGGACCGCCCGCCGGCCAGCTCGGCCGGCTCTCTCTCCCGGGCCTGGGGATGACAAGGCTCCAGAAGTGCAGGGTTCAGCACTAACAGGGCTGTGCATTCAGAATGATGGAACATGGCGGGGGCTGGGTTCATCTGGCCTCCTCGGCCTGACAGCAGGCTGATTAGACACGTGTAAGGATGGAGAGAGCCGTGGGGAGGTGGGGAGCGGGGGCAGCAGAGTCTAAGGTTAACACTCTGCCTCTATAAAGTTTGACCACTGTGCTGACTTCCCAGCTGCATGGCATTGGACCTCTGTAAGTCTTATTGACCTCATCTGTCATGCAGGCACAAACCACCATCACGGTAACAGTCACATCTAAGGGTTCCATGACACTCTTTATTTTTTTTTAAGATTTTAAAAATTTATTTGACAGAGAGAGAGATCACAAGTAGGCAGAGAGGCAGGCGGAGAGAGGGGGAAGCAGGCTCCCCACTTAGCAGAGAGCCCGATGTGGGGCTCGATCCCAGGACCTTGAGATCATGACCCCAGCAGAAGGCAGAGGCTTAACCCACTGACCCACCCAGGTGCCCCTTCCATGACACTCTTGACAAAGAGCGCCTAGCACTGCACCCAGCCCGGGCCCCCTCCCCAGCAGCTGCGCCAACGCCCCTAGACAGCCCCAGCTCCGCCACTCTCCAGCGGTATGATCCTGGGTGTCTCCATCTCTTCCTCCCTAGACCTCAAATTCCTCCACCTTAAAACGGGGAGAGCCCAATCTCCAGGATCGGGGAATGAGGAATCTGCAAGATCATACGTTCGGTACTTAGCACAGGGCCCGGTGCAACTTAAATGCTTAATAGTTGTGAGCTAGTATCTCATTATCCCTCAAGAAACTTCTACTAGTCTAAAATGCCAACGTGAAGAATCCTCCAAAGGCAGTTTGCCATGTGCAAAGAAATCATTGGGACAGAAGGTTCTCCAGTGGCAAGTTTCTCTCCCCACCTCCTTTATTTTCCCGTTGCTCTAAGAATAACCCTCCCCCAATCTTAGGTCTGCCCTAGGAAGCATTTGGAGGTCAGTTCCCAGTGCGGGGCTGAGCTCGCTCCACGCCAGCGCTGTCTGCAGGGCTCCATCTGCCTCTTCGCCCCCACGGGGCTGCAGTCTGACAGCGAGGGAGGGGACATGCAAATACGCCCTAAAAACGGCTTGTTATTTTCACGGCCTGGCTGTGCGCGTTTGTGGGGGCCTGTGAAGACAGCACGTCACTGTCAGGTACAAGGCATACGCCACCAATCTGGGGGAGGCTGTGAAATGTAAAAATACCCAACCCAAATAAAGCCCTTTTCCAAAGGAAAAGAAAGCTCCTCGGGTGCCCTCTGCAGAAAGGGAAGGAGGTGGTAACTCAGCCCCCGGGGGCAAATCCCCTGCTGGGCCCTCCCTGACCAAGGCACCTGGCTCTTCACTGGTCCCACAGGCTCGGCGCCCCAGTGAAACTGTTCAGCTGCTGCTTTTCAGCAGCAATTATACTGTGGAACGACCCAGAAACGGATGCTTTCAAGTGATGAGCCTGGGAAAAGGGATAGCAAAAAGACCAAAGACGAGGGCCCTCCATAAAGAAAACAGAGCACTAAAAAAGCCAGGAAGTGCTATTAACAGCACGTTGATTTACAAAATCAACTCAGAAGACTGTAATTACCGTCAACTTCCATCTCCAACTTAACAGGCTTTGACGGGCACCCACAATGCACCGCATCCAGGTGTCTCCTGCTCCAGCGGGAGCCAAGCAGTTAAGGTAAATGGAGGCAGCTTGTGCTAACAAAAGCAAAAGGGGAAACAAAACCAAGGACAATAGGGAGGGGTGGGGGCCTGCGGCAAACTGGAGGGAGGAAAGAGGTGAGGTAGAGCTCTCCATTCCAAGTAGCCAGGCCACAGTGGGGTACCGTGTGACCAGGTCTCCCGAGTTTGTAATCAAAGATTAAAATCCAAATTTCCAGGTGAAATGTTGGTTCAGGTTTCTTTTCAAACACTGTGCGGGCCAAACCAAACACCTCTGAGAGCCAGATCCAGACCGCAAACGGCCAGTTTGCCACCCCTGACCAAGCCCCGGCAACCCCTCTTTGCAGATTTGATGGCACTCCTGGGGATTGGGAGGCAGGGGGAGCAGAGCAGTAGCATAATAAACCCAATGCAGTACCCAGACCCCTGTCCCCACTCAAAAGTCCCTCCCTCCTGAGTGTCCCGCCCTCTGAGCTCCAGGCCACAGGAGGGACCCACATCCAGGGGCACCGTTGCCTATGAAGACCCTCACTGGGGCAGGTCTTGGGACTAACTGCCACCCCTGGGGACGTGGCTGGGGGCGTGTCCTGCGCAGAGGCTCACCCACGCTGAGGACTTCTGCTTCTCACCAGTCCCCAGGGAAACGCTGCTCTTCTGCAAAGAAGGCTCATGGGAACTGTGCCTCAAGGGACCCAAGGAGGCAGTGCCACACCTGCGGGTCCTCTACAAACATTACCCAAAGCAGATGGAACCGAGTGACCGTCGCCATGCCTGTCTCCCGCAGCTGCTGGGGAACGGATTTCCCACACACTCTCCCCCAGTGCCTACCTTCAGCTCCAGCCTGGGGCCAAGACGGGTAAGAGGCAGGGAGGTGCCTCACGATAATCATTTTTAAATTATTTTTAAAGGTAGTCCCTGATTGGCATTCTCTTGTATGGCTTCCAAAGCATGCGCGTGTGCCCACGACCTCCCCCGATGGTCCCAACAGCCCAGAGAGACCGCCAATGCATTATTATTCATTACTGTTATTATTAATCACCCTTCCTTTGCCTCCGGGAGAACCAGACACAGGTTCAGCATCCTGCCCGAGCCAGACCTTCTCAAACTTGAACATGTCCGTGAATTCCTCGGGAGAGACTGTTAAAATGCAGATTCTGAGGCAGAAGTTTCTGGAGAGGTCTTGAGCTGCCGCATCTCTAACGAGCTGCGGGGTGACATAGATTCTACCGGTCCTCAGACCCCAGGCAGAACAGCAATGCTCAGGTCCCTCAGCGAACGCGGGGCTGGAGCTGGGGCTGTAACCCAGGCGTCTACCCTCGGAGTGCCCTCAGAGGAACAAGGCTCGCTCACCTCACTTTTCACGGGTTGGGGCCTCTTGCCCAGCTTCACCTCCAGGAAGTGCAAGGGGGCGATCATGGCCCCAATGTTGCGGATGTCGGCGTATTTCAGCTCCTCTGCAGTCAGAGCCGAGCTGGGGAGTCCGGTAAGGGGGCCGAGCCCTGGCAGAGAGCCCGCAGTCACGGAAGGGTCTGGAATCTGCCCAGGCATCATAGCAGGAAGAGCGGCAGCCCAGCCTGGAGTGGGTGGGAGAAGATCAGGACATGCGCCGTCAGCCAGGCTTAAGCCCCCACGCCTTGCAGGAGGGGCTCTTTCTTTCTTTCACTAATGCTCCCCTGAACCCCTTTCCCGCCCAGCTGCTCCTCCCGCCTCTACATCCATTCTGTGATAGCAGAGAACTCTGATCAGTTGGTTCCTACCAAAGTTATTCTTGGCACTGAAGGCAACGCTTAACCCAAGCATAGGCCACACTGACTCGGGATTTGCTATGAGCTCGGCACTGCGGTAATCCTTCTGGGAGCCCCACGAGACGGGGTCAGACCCATTACACAGATGAAGAAGCCGAGGCTTAGGAAGAGAATTCGCTCAAGTTTGTACACCGTTAAAACTGGAGTAGCTGGGATTTAAACCACACTGGGCTGCCTCTGAAGAAAACGGGTTACAACAGTGGGATCTCAGGCCCCGGTGCACCTGTTTGAGAAGGAGTTATTTTTGCTCTGGTGCGGTGCCTCCCCTCAGATCACACACCCCGCTCTGCATACTTGTTAAGACACCCTAAATACGAAATGAAGCAAGTCAAAGTTCAAGGTAAGCGTGCAGGTGAGTGTGTGTGTCTGGTTTCTATGGGGATAATACGGAGGCAAAGATGAAATGCACTAGTGGGTACCTGCCCAGCGGAGCCCGGGATTAGAAAAGTCCTCCTGGTCCCTTTATTCTCCAAGCAAACACATATTCTGGTTCTGCCACACCCAGAAGGTGTATAAAGGAAGACAGCTGCAGGCATGAGAGAAAGACGGAAGTCAGACTGGTCAACACCAGGGAACTCTTATTCCTTCTCTCTATGGGGAGAAGCTTGTGGGTAAGAAATGGTCACTTCAAGACACAGAGAGCAGTGAAGAAAGCATGTCTGCCAAGAAAGCCAGACTCATCTGGTCCCTTCGAGGGCTCGTATCTATCCATCCATCTACCAGCCACCCAACTGATGACCACCTATGAGTCAGGAGTCACTGAGAATATGGAGATCTGATGTGTACAGCCTTGTAAGTCACATTTTAGTGCAAAGCTGCTCCAGGATTCCAGTCCTGCAAAAGGGAACTTCTCTCCCTTCCCACCTCTCTGCATAGGGCCATAAAATCAAAACCTTAACGATCCTGGAAATCCTGGGGGAGCTCTGTCCTACCCTTCCACCTCCATCAGCCTCTTCCCACGAAAAGGGATGTATTTGGTGAGACAGGGGAGATGTGACATCCCTCGGACCACACTTTCCCGCTGGACAGATTTCATGTTCTCCTATGGCCATGCTGTCTTGGGCTCACTGCCTCCCGCAGGAGTGGCCCCGGGGGCGTAACCCACAACTCTCTGTCCCCACTCATGCTGCCAGGTCTATTTTGCAGGACAGAGGCCCACTAGGGAGCCCCTTTTGACCACAAGTATACACCATGTCCTCCATCTCTGTTCCCTTTTAAAGGTGAAATTTGCTTCCCCATCCAACCCTATGTCTCTTTCTCAATAGGTTCTGCACTCTGAGGGGAAAAGCATGTGAGGGATTGGCACCCTTGAACCACAAAGACTCAAAGACTTCCACTGGACATCTCTTTCCTTAAAAAAGGGTGTGTGTGAGTGGACGACGGACCTGCCATTTTGCCCTCAGTACCCCAGCGTACCTGCCTATGAAGCCGTCTGTACAGAGCTCCCTACCAGGCACCCGAGTTCACACTTGGTACCCCAGGCCCTATGTCTGGTCTCCACCTGCTCTGCCTCCCACACCCGGCCCCTCGACCCTCCTTAGCACCTAGTGTCCCCCGGGCCTTTTCAGAAAAGGATCTGAGACTCATTCACATCAAGTCATCATCTTAGAGCTGGAGGAGGCCCTGCGTTTAACCACATCCTCATTTTGCACATGAGGATATTAAAGCTCAGATGGGTGAAATGACTTGTCCAAGGTCACACAGAGGAAAAGCCAGGGCTGGACTCCCGGTCTCTGGATTTTAGAACCAAAGCTTTCTCACTCTGCCTTTTTTGTCCCCCCCCCCACCAGAGTTCAAGAGATATATATGCAGATATTAATAATCTTTTAATGGTGGACTTTGAGACACTAGACCCTAGCAAAGGATCACTCTCTTGCACTGAAGACCCTCTACTGTGCCTTCCATGCAGATCCAGGTTTAGGAAATTCCCCAAACAACCCCATGGTATGCTGGGTGGGAGCCCAGATGTGGACATGGCCCCTGAGACATCTCTATGTGGTGGGTCAAGGTGTTGTGACCCTTCCTAAGCCTAAACTGGACTGAAGGCACCCTGCCCCACCTCCAGAGCCAGGCCTGCAATGCAGAGAGGTCTGCAGGTTTCCGCACCAGAAGGTGGCTCTGGGGCAGACTGGATGAGCTGCTGTTTCCCAGGGCCTCCCCCAGGGAGAACAAGAAAGGGCCCAATGGAAGGACTCATTCCTAGGTGGCAAAATGATGCCTGGGCCCAGCCACAGGGACACCTGGCAGGCAGAGGGGAGTGATTTCAAGCTACCTGAGCCAAGCTGACAAAGGAAACTCACATCTCCTTTCCAGAAGAGGAGAAACCCTTCCCATATCCCCTCTGCCAGACCTGAACTCATGCCACAAGGAGTCAGTGACCACCCCCCCCGCCCCGAAAAAAAGGATGCTTGAGCTAGTCAAACCAGACAGGCAACAGGAGGCAGGGAAATGCTCTGTGCCTGGTGTTTCAGCTGGATACAAACCCCTAACAGGATGGGGGCACCACAACTCCACTATGCAGCCAAGCAAAAATACAGCACAAAATCCCCTCCTTGGCCAGAAGCCCCAGAACCTTCCCGTACTGCAAAGGCCAATTCCTACCAGGCAAAAGGTGCATGTGGGCACTCAGCAAGCATAGGGGTGATTTCAAGAGGGAAGCAGCAGTCATGGCTGGTTGCTGCCCCCTGGAACCCCAGGGCCTAGCATCATTTCTGGCACAGAAAGGGTAACCAACAAATACTTGGTGAATTAATAAATAAGTTAAAATGAATGAATGAACAAGTGATGAAAAATAAAGTCACGATGGAACAAAACTGAGCGAGTGGGATAAGGATTTGTCTCTGGGAGTTTAGATGCTCATTATCCACCTCCAGATCATTTGTTCCCACAGTAGACCCCAAGAAAAATACTCCAGAGGCTTCTGTATGTTTCCCTGCCTAAACCACCTCAGAAAGATGGAAGCCAGACCCCACTCTATTCCGGGAATGATAGGCTCTGCTCGTAGCTTCTGTTTATTTTCATACAGATGGTCTAAATGAGACACTAACAAATGATCCCAAAATATAATGGTTTCTTTGCTACTGTGGGACCCCCTCGGAGGGGTAGCCACCCCCTGGGAGCAGCAGCCCCATAAATTCTTGCCATTCCTGCTCCCCTGTGAACCCATCCCAATGCAAGCTGCACTCAGAGATTCAGCCACCAAGTTTTCCTCTACAGAAGCAAAAATCCCCCTTTCCTCGCAGCCCCTCCTCCCCGCCCCGCAAGGGCGCCCCTAACTGCTCAGATACAAACCACAAAGTCCTTAACACATGCCATTCCTAGGAGACAATCGCAACAGCTGACATTCACCAGCTCGAAGTCATCCTAAACGGTTGGGGTGGGGGGTTATTTGGGGGGGCTGGGGAGGGTGGCAGAAGATGGAGCTGCTGCAGCGGCTGCCTTTCATAACCAGGTCCTCATTAACTGGAAAGAGCTGGCTCACGATCCAAGGTTGAAAGACAACTTTGGTGATTTGAAAAATAAAATAATTTGATGTGATTTAGGGATCTATAAAAATGGGGGAGGGGGGCAGTGGCCGGGAACCTATAATAGCCAGGAGGAATTTACCCACTTCAAGGAAGACATAGGAAAGATGACAAGAGGTGAAATCATCTCCCAAACTGCTTGTTCCATACGGAAACAATTTAGGAGGAAAAGGAGAGCTACGCACTAAAAAGCTTTAGGGGAAGAACCCAGAGATTTTTCCCTTCGAGCCCAGGAGGTCGGAAAGCAAGATAAACACCGTCCATGTCTCCATTAGTAACTGGGATGCATAAATAAAGAGCAAGCTCTATACGTTGGCAGAAGACCAAAACTGGCAAATGGGGCTTGACCTCAAAAGACAGGCCCAGAATCCAAGAAGATTTGGGCAATTTGGGACATTGACCAGGAACAACTTGGAAACTAGCCAATGAAGAAAAACTGGGTAATGCACAGATCCGAGATGAGACTGACAAGTAAGGCACAAATAAGACGGAAAGCGTTCGGGAGGTCACAGCAGACCCCAAGCTGCTCTGGAACCCAAGATTTTGGGAGGTTTGATGCAGCTCCCTAAAAGTGGGCTTGGAAAAGATAGGGACCAGATGGGTCCAAGAGGCAAGAACCTAAAATAGAGATCCAACATCTGTATCTCTCTGTTCTGACTTCTGGGGGCGAGGGGTGGGGGTGTGTCTTAGGCACACAGTTTGGGGCACTGCCTTGTATAAGCACAAGAAAAGCCACAATATACTTCAATTCCAGACTGGGTCCCCTTGGAAGATACTAAGATGAAGAATCATTTCAGCCAAAAGAAGGAAAGGTAGAGGAACCTAAGTTTTCCCCTCTTATTTTCTTCTCTTGTGTACTGTATGTAACTCTGTGAGATATAATTTTTAATGAAATAACAGTCTTGCTGTGATGGGTGAAGCTTGTACAGGGCTATCTTGTGAGAAAGTGCTCAATAATCATCATTTTAATCTAGAATGGTGAAGACAGATTAAAGGTGGTGGGACGTAGGTTAAGAGAAAGTCAGGATCTGCATCATGAACTCTCTGTCCATGGAAATAAAAGTTTAAGGGAAGCTCTAAAGTCCCTGGGTCTCTTTGAGAAGGCCAGCCCCCCCTAGGCAAACAGCTGGACCGGGCTGGCATCGGGAGCCAGGAATGGGTGTGTAAAGAGTGCAAAAGGCCTGAAGCCACAAGGCTCAGTGCTACGAGAAAGTAGAGGTGAGTGGGGGCAGGTCAAGGAGCAAGGCTGCTCACGGGTCAGGGTCCAGGAACACTAGTGGGGTTAGAATGAGTAGCCAGAGACTGAGAATCAACATGAGGGGGTGGGAGGTCTTGGGAGCCAGAGCCTGGGAAGATTCCCAGGAGGAAAACGGGGATGGGGAGTGGGGGGACAGAAGTCCATGGGCAGGAAGGGGTGAGGGGTGGCAGACAGAAAGGTTCCAGGCCAGTGATGATAAAACATAATATCAACTATGGTGAATCTCAGAGAATTAAACAGCAAACCTGTTCTTGGAGCTAAGGAATCATCTGGAATGATCTCTCTCCTGGAATCTGAAATGAGGTGGGTAAATCAGCTTCCAAAAGATAAGATGATCCAGAAGGCAAGGAGCAAAAGAACGGAGAAAACTCTAAAACCCAGAACAGGGGCGTGGCACCAGTGTCTCTGATGGGGGCCTCAGCTCTGCAGGCAGGACAGGGAGGCAGGCAAACAGTAGGAACGATGGAGCCCCATCATCCGAAGGGGAATCCAAGCTCTGCCCTTACTAGCTGTGTGACACCGGGCGAGTTCCCTAACCTCGCCACATCTCACTTTCCTCCGCTGTAAAGTGGGAATAATAATGTTATTTGCCCTGTAAGACTGAGAAGAGGATTAAATTAGTTAATACCTGGAAAGTACCTGGAACAGCGCCTGTACCTAGTGAGTGTGATGTCAGTGTGGCCATGAAGGCCTTCCTTCCTGGAGGGACACCAGTGCTGGATGACCCCGCGACCTCCCTTCCGCACGGTTCCCACCTAGCACTGATCCCCTTTCCTATGACTGTGAAGAGGGTTCTTCCCCAGAGGACTCTCTGCTGTCCCACTTTCCAGCTCTAAACCCCAAGGGGGCAAAACCACCCTGCATCCAGGTCGTTAATGAAGAGAAACAAAGAATGCCTGATCAGGGGCGCCTGCGTGGCTCAGTGGGTTGAGTGTCTGCCTTCGGCTCAGGTCATGATCCCAGGGTTCTGGGATCAAGTCCCATGTTGGGCTCCCTGCTCAGTGGGGAGCCTGCTTCTCTTTCTCCCTCTGATACTCCCCTGCTTGTGCTCTCTCATGCACTCTCTCTCTCAAATAAATAAATAAAATCTTTTTTTTTTTTAAAGGATGCCCGATCAGCGGTGGGTGCAAAGGTGCAGAAACGAGGCCCAGCACCCATGCTTTGCCTTAGTTTCTCCTAAGGTTTCCTCCAGCTGCCAGAACACAGCTGCATAGATCACTGGCAACAAGACACCACCAGGGTCTTCCACGCTGGCCTCCAGAGGCAGCGGGCCAGCATCGTCCGAGTCCTTCCATCTACTGTATCCCCGCACTGCTTAGAAGGGGTCAATCCTTACATCTTCCCAAGAAAGGAATGAGGGGTGACAGGATCAGAAGCCATCCATGTGACACCCCAGCATGCATGATCCTTGCATGTCCATCCCAGCCAAAGAAGAAACTGGAACCTCTCCTCCCAGGAAAGAGTCTTCTCTGGAGACCAGAGAAATGCCTTTGATAAGGCACTGCCTATAAACACTGCGTAATGTAGGTGCACAATAAAAACACATCAAGGCATTTCTGCCAAGATCCTTATTCCAAACAGCGAAGAGCTGGGAAGGCACTACCATTGGACAAGCTTTCCCCCCTCTCTTCCCCGCTCACCCCATCTCTGGTGTGGGCAGTTCATAGTATGACCCATAACACAGACCTGCACACACTGTGTGACAAATTCTTGGCCCTTTAAAAAAAAAAATCCCATTGACCAGCTCAAGCTTTGGAAATCAAGCTCTGCAAACGGAATCCCAGGGGCTGCAGCAAGAAAACAGACTAAAAAATAACAATAATACCAAAAGAAAAAAAAGCAAAAAAAAACCAGAACGGTGGGCTCTGGCTGGGCCTCCCACAGCCAGCTATGAGTGTAAAGAAACACAGACTGAAAATTCCAACCTTGGGTCGCTAAAGCATTTGTCTCTGCTGAGCTTCGAGAGGCCAAACCACACACACGCACAAGAGTGCACACGCGCACACGCACACACGCGCGCGCGTGCACACACACACAGCACACAGAGCTTGGCAGCCCGTAAGTTCCAGAGCTGGTAACACAAGCCACGGAACCGACTGCCAAGACAAGCAACAGAATGAGCCAGGCCCAGTTTCATTGGCCACCATACGCTGCATATGGCCCGGGACGCAGCCAAAACAGTGTTCTCACCCTCCTCAAAGGCATAGGAGACCCTCTGTTTTCAAACACACCTCCACAGAGCCTTAATTAAAGGAAAATGGAAAAATAATGTGCCTGCTGCCCCCCCCCCGCCTATATAGGTATGCACACACACATAACCATACACACTCACTCTATTTTTCTCTTCCTCCCATTTCGGTTGCAAACATAATTCATTCACATGGAAAAAAAGCAAACTGCATCCTGCAGCAGAAAAGCAAAGAAGAGCTTGCCCTCAGCCCTGGCTCTGGCTGCTCAAGTTGAGCTGGGGCCGAATGAACACAGAGCAGGCCAACCTGGAATCGCACAGGGCCCCTCTCTTACAGAGCCCGGCTCGAAACAGAGACCTCGGCGTGAGAGGCGGTCCACTGCAACACCAGCAGCCCCACAACAAACAGGGCCCGGGGAGCCTAGCCCTTCCCATCCTGCCAAGGATTCTGTAGGTTGGAAAGGATGCCCACAGGCCCGCAAACAGGTGGGGGAGACAACAGACCCCAGCGGCTGCAAAAGCTAGGCGGTGAGTGAGTAGAGAGATCCTCATCCAAATCCTTCCTTCGGGGACACTTAGCACTTCCCAACACATCTCCCTGGAGGTGGCTGGAACCAACCTAGGAGGAAAGTCAGAGGCCTCAACGCCCATGCTTTCCAACAGCCCTTCAAATCTCACAGAACCCAGCTCTTCAGGAAGATTCTGGAGCTGCCGGCAGCTCTGAACCAAAGCCAAAGAAGAAGAGGAACAGAAGAGTCTTTGACAATTCTGTCCTCCCTGTTTTAAACAAGGCACAACCTTCACCAGCCAGAGGCACAAGAATAGATCCTGCTTCTCTTCCCCGGTCCTAGGTTTATATAAAACCAGAGCCACGCTCACACCTGATACCTGGTTAAACTCTCCCCTAGAAACCTGCAAAGGAAGATAAGGCGTCCATCCAAGCTGCAGATTTGCTGGAAAGATGAAAGCAATGGGAGGTGTTTTTAAAAACCCTCAGGGGAGGAAGGTGGTGGTGGGGGGGAAGGGAGATGATCTGGGAACACCGCCTGCAGCAAGGGCTTAAAGGACAAGCAGGCATCCCATCGTGCTTCAAAGCTTCAGATCAGATGCTCCTCAAAGTAAGACCTCAAGGAGAGTCCACTAAGATTTAGACCGGGGTACGCACACCCACGCAGTCTGCAAGGCCTGTTTTGAGAGACAGACCTGAGCACATCTGCCCTGAGCGCATGTCGTCAGGTCATAACCGGATGCCCTGAACTTACACTGTAGGGAGAGCCTTACAGTGAGCAACGGTCCGGCAACGTTGCAACTGGAGCTGACCCAAGGGGTCAGTTGAGTTCCTCTTCCACCAGCCTCTCCAGCCGCAAGGATGGCCCATCCATCCCTGCAGAAGAGCCAAGACCTCCCATCTTCCCAGCTCCTCCCACTGACCCAGGCAAAGCCTGGGTCTGCCACTCCAGGGTCCTGAGATCCTGCCCCAATGGCCCAATCCCTCAACCTCCTTTGAGGGGCGGGGCAGAAGAGAGTCTTCCAAACTGGGCTGGGCAGGAGAGGAGGGGCAGGTTACCTAGAGGAGCAGGCTTGCCTCCTTATGTAACCTGGCTTGGGAACCAGGGGGAGCCCACGGGGGACCCGGGCCGCCCCCTTCGCCCCCAGCCCGTTCCCAGCCCAGAACCCCGGAGCAATGGCCCTGAGAGAAGCCCTCGCCATTGGGGTTGAGAGCCCCAGCGCTTCTCCAGGTCCTCTGAGAGCCGCGCTTCCTGCCAGCGAAGGGGGTGGGGGCTGGCACGACTTGCCAGCAGGTCCCTGTCATCCCTCCACCACCAGCACCCTGCACCTCCCCGGCCTCTCGGCCTCCACCTACACCTCCGCCGCCCGTCTCCCCGTCCCCGGGCAGTTTTCTCCCCACTCACCCAGTTCCCCGCCGCCCGAGGGAAGCACCTCCCTGCAAACGGACGGGGGAGGAGAGCGCGGGAGGGAGCGTCCCGGCTGCCCCGCGAGCCGACGGAGCCTACAGTCCCTGGGCGGGAACCAAAAGGCATTCACCGGTTCCCCGGCGCCGGGCCGGAGGGGCCCCGGGGCTGCAGCGCCCCCCGCCCGGACAGGCTCGCGGGGGTCGCGGGGGGCGGCCCGGGGCTGCGGGAGCCTCCCCGCCTCGGCCCGCGCGGGGGCCGCAGTCCCAGGTGCCCGCGCCCGGCGCGCCCTCCCGCCCCCCCCCGCCCGGCGCCCCCCGGCGCGCGCCCTAGCACCCACCGTGCACAAGCCGCGGGCGGAGGCGGCGCCCCCGGGGCCGGGGCCCGGCTGCAGGCGCCGTGCCCACGCAGCGCCGCTGCCGCCCGGCCGCCGAGCTCCGCCCGGTGCCCAGGCCCGTCCCGGCCCGGGAGCCGCCGCGGCGCCAGCCCCGCCGCCGCTGCAGCGTCCGCCGCCGCCAGCGCCCCCCGTCGCGGCCGCCGAGCGTCCCTCCCGCAGGCTGTGGCGGGCGGCGGGACGGGTTGCATCAGCCCCGGCTATATAGCGGCCCCTGGGCGGCGGGGAGGGGTCGGGAATGCGGAACCCGCCGAGCTGCCAGCTCCAGACGTCAGAGGGGGACGGAGAGGAAGGGAAGGAGGGGACAGGGAGGAGGGGGTGTGGATCCGGCGCCTCACACCCACTGACCTTCACCTCCCCCGCCGCCCCGGGCGCCCTCCTCCCGCCGCGGGCCGCGCAGCTCTCCCCGCAGGGGCCGCGGCTAACCCCGGCTCCCGCGCGTCCCCCGGCGCCCACCCCGCGGGGAAGCAGGACGCGGCGGGCGGTTATGTAAGAGCATCCCCGCGCACGGTCGCTTCCACCCCGAGACCCGAGCCGCCGCTCGCGCGCGGGAAGGGAGAAGGCGCGGCGGGACAAGCCCCAGCGCTCCCGGAGGCACTCGCAGCCTGCGTTGAACCATCTTCCTCAGTCCTTAGCGCTTTTCCCCCAAAACCGTGAGGGGGTTTCAGCACATTTTCATCCTCGGACTCTGCATGCCTGAGGGAGTGAGGGGAGGATCTCGCGAGCCGCTTTTATTTTCCGGTGGAGAAGGATGGGCGGAGGATTACCCCCACCCACTAGCCCACCTGGGCGCCCTGCGGCCCCGGGTGGCTCCCTGCAGGGGGCTGCCCTCCTCTGGGGCTGCGGCTAGAGCCCACCGCTTTCCCTGGGGCTCCACAGGCTGACCCCTGGGCTTTCTGTCCCACTCTAGCAGGCTTCTCTCGGCTCAGGGACGCTCCCGTGAGCAGACCCAGCCCTCAGCCGACCCTAAATGGCCTCTTCTTCCCCATTATGACTTCCACTGCCAACTTACTCCCACCTTTCATCCTCCTCGAGTGGTAGATGGTTAATGGCGACTCCAGAGGAAATGCACCTTCCAGTATGTAAAGGCACAGAGACACAGAGCCCCCCCCCCCCCCCCGGCACACATGTGGCTCCCAAGGCCTTGGCACCCTGGTTGGCATCTCCTACCTCCGGACCCTCTGGATGCCCAGCCTACCTTTCTCCCTAGGCCAGTAGGAGTGACCGTGTTTATATTTGGTAACCTTCAGCCTCCTTCCCAGAGTGATGTCAGGTCATCACCCAGAGAAGAAAGGAAGTGAAAGAAAAAGTTCATGCCTTCTTGGAGCGCAGATGCTCAGAGTGAAAGAAACAAGACTTGAGACAGATGGGAGCCGATGAGCAAAACCGAAGGAGCCGTCAGTGTGAGTACAATCAGGCTTTATCCTCCTTACTTCCCAGTGTTTAGAATCTTTCTGGATGAGGGGACTGGTATTACCACGGGACGGCAGACCAAGCACCCATGACATTGACTGACCATTTTCACCTTCACCATCAGCTCTCTCCCTCAAAACATTTGAAGTGAGCCAGTAAAAACAAAGTAAGGTCCTCAAAGAATATACAATGGAAAATGAGTAGTAATCGGATAGTCTTGTGGAAGAGCATAACTGGAGCCCCAGAAAGGCCAACTACACCTTTACTACGGCAGAAAGATCAAAGCTGGGTACTGTGAAACTGCCTTATGATGTTTTCCCCACGAGACTGAGGTCTGGACGTTTATATGGAAGAAAACATGGAACAGGCGCAATGCGTCTTCGTCTGGGACTTTGAAAAAACTAAACTGATCTATGTGTGGGGACTAATAATTAGCGTGTGTGGTTAGAGCGAGTCCTCTCCGGGGCCTGCTTTGGACGTGGCTGGGCCACCAGCAGTCCTACTGGGCCTTTGCTTCCCCCACAAATTAAATATGCTACAGGGGTGGCACCGAGGGGTAAGCTGGTGGTCTCTAGCCCCCTCCACCTCCCTAAAATATCCATTAGGTCTTCTCTGTTATTTGATATGGATTTTTTCAGCTGTATATACAATGCCATGTAAACAGAGCTTCAAGCCCTCCCTGCCAGCCACATCGCCCCCTCCCAGATCTCTACACGGTCATTGCCTCTGGAAGTAGCTGGAGAGAGAGGCCATACATTGGCTCATTTATGGAGATGTTGGCCTGCCTCTTCCTACCCTGCTGCATGGAGCTAACCACTGGCTCTTAGGGACAGACAAGAGATCAGTCTAAGACAGTTTGAATTTAGCTTTCTTACCGCTTGCAACTCAAAGAGGCCTGATTAATGCACCCAGGCCTGGCCAGTGGCCTGACTGAGAGAGTGTCATATATCCTAAGTGGGTCTGAGGAGGTTAGGGATTTTGAGGATCTCCTGGGAAGAGAAACTGCCAGAAGCTTGACCTGAAACTGCCAGAGGGGGACCACTGAGAGAGAAGCTAATGCAAAGAAAAGTATAGGATAATCAAGCAAGGGAGGGAAAGGCATCAAGCTCTGAGGGCATTGCCAGCCATGGCTGATGTCATCCCTCCCTCTGGAGTTTTTAGCTGTAAGAATCAGTAAATTATATCCCACCTAAGGCAGTTTGAATTTAGATTTCCTATTATGACAGTCCTTAACTTAATGATGGTTCAACGGATGATTTTCCAGTGTTACGATGAGGCAAAATCCATATGCATTCATCAAAAACCATAGTTTGAATTTCGGTCTTTTCCGGGCCAGTGAATATGTACTCGATCCTGTCTCCTGAAACTGGGCAGTGATTGCCAGGCACAGCGCCAGGTCAGCCACGCAATCACGGGGGTAAACAACCAGTACACTGACCATGGTTCTATACCTGTGCCACCACTCTGCTTTTCACTCTCCGTGTGCAGTGCTCAACAAACTACGTGAGCTATCCAATACTTTAGTATTAAATAGGCTTTGTGCTAGACAATTTGCCCAACTGCAGGCTGATGTAAGTGTTTGAGCACGTTTAAGGTAGACTAGGCCCTGCTGTTCGCAGGTTGGGTGTATTAAGTGCATTTTTGACTTTAGATATTGTCAACTTATGATGGGCATATTGGTATATAAGTCAAGGAAGGACTCCACTCTAAGTCAAGGAAGACCTGCAGTGCGACTAAGAAAGTCTCAATTAACACACTGGGTTTTGTATCTCTGCCTTATTCAGACGATTGCATTTGAAAGCTTAATGGACAACCATGACTCCCAAGGTCTTTGCAGACAGGAAAAAAAAGTGAACTGGCAAGGTAAAACAATTAATTCCCCAGACCGGTTTCTCCAATATTAAGGAAGAAAGTGACAGGTCTGAGTAACCAACCAATCCACTAGTCTTTGTACTAGTATTTTTTGGTCCTATATCGTGGCCTGTGAGGTACGCAAAGTTTAAGACGGGATTCCTCATTTGTCCCCACCTCCGATCTCTTTAGGAGCAAGGTCTTGAACACTAACGACCACCAATACCCGTAGTCACAGAGAGCTGGTGTGTACACAGACTGTAAGTGTGGCTAAGTTCCGATAGGACTGTTGTGCCCTGGAAAAGACATTCATCAGTTGTTCCAATCAAACCCTGTAGGCCCCAGATTGCGAACTGGCAGGCTGAATTTGGTTTTGCTGTCTCAACCTTACTTTTTTTTTTTTTTTTAACGTATCAAAGATGTCACACAAAAATCTAGATTTCTAACTTCTCTTGAAAAAGATGAGTCAGACAACATTTAATAGTCAGGATGACATAGGTTATGCTGCGGGACCAAAGAGCCTCCAAAACTCAGCAGCTCGACACAAGAAAGGCTTATTTTTTTACCCACCCGAGACAACCGTGGGTTCAGGTGATTGTCCAGGGCGGAAGTCCCACAGGCAATGGCTCAGTATTGTACCATCGTATCGGCGAGTGCATGCGTGGCCACAATGGCAGGGAAAGAGAGAGAGAGGTTGGAGAGGGCCAGGCACCAGCAGTTAAAGGTTTCCTCCTGGAGCGAAATATGTCACTCTAGGTTACATTAGCCAAATCAAGTCACATGACCGCTTTTATTTTGTTTTATTTTAAGATTTTATTTATTTATTTGACGGAGATCACAAGTAGGCAGAGAGGCAGGCAGAGAGAGAGAGAGGAGGAAGCAGGCCCCCCACTGAGCAGAGAGCCTGGATGTGGGGCTCGATCCCAGCGTCCTGGGATCATGACCTGAGATGAAGGCAGAGGCTTTAACCCACTGAGCCACCCAGGCGCCCCATATGGCCACTTTTAATCTCAAAGAGATAAGGAAGCTCAGTCATCCCAGGTACCATGGAGGAGAAGGGAATCATGTATCAGTGAATAATTACTATCTGCCACAACACCTACTCCTTAATGGCAGCAGTGGGTTGCATCCCACTAGAAGATACCCCCTGAGATGGGACTTACGAACCCCAGTTTGACCCAGTCTCCACCCAGCCTGCCAGGTCATTTACAAGACCTGCTAAGCCCCTGGGGACATTTGATTTCATAGTTCCTGGTACAAACAAAGCCAACTTCAATATTAATTTTTCTGTGTTCCTGGTGATTCACGGAATTATCACAAATTTTTTAAAAACAAGGTTTGGTTTTTTTATTTGCTAATTTTAAAGAAAATGACAAAGAATTCTTTGGTGAAGGGCAAGATGGTATTAGGAAATCAAACAAGAAGTTGAGACTCGCTGTTATATATTCTGCAAATTACAGAGACCTGTTCATGATGGTTTCTTCCTCCTGCTCTTTCCTTGCTCAAGCAAACACCTACCAGAAGAGACCAGGAGAAATGAAGGTCCTGTTCTCTTTCTTCAGGTGTGAGAAGAAATTACAGGATGGTGATTTGGGGGAGTGGTTTGGCTTAAAGTTTTAAAAGATATATATATCTGATATATTAAAAAAAATATATATGACATATGATAAAATATAATAAGATATACATTCATATATTAATATTGTTAAAATATATTATATAT